CCGTGGCCAAGAGCATGATTCCTATCTTCAGGTTCACTCACACACTGTCAGGAGTTGAAACACTCTTGGACTCCAGGAACTTTTAAAAAGACAGTTTAGTTGTCATACTCTGCCCTTCACAAAATGGCCCTCAAAATGTGCTGATCCAACCGTCCATGGCCCTGGAGGTAGAGACCTGGCCACCACCCAGACTTCCTCCTTCTGGTGGACTTGGTTCTTGGTGAGCTCCAGCCAAGCAGGCCCAGCAGGACCAGGCCATGTGTGCTCCAGGCGGGGCTGGCATCTCCGCAGCAGGTGAACGCTGGCAAGAAGACTCCAGAGCATCTTTTCCAGTGTGACTCATTTCCAAAAATAGCCCCAGAAATTGTAAGTCTTTAAAAGCAGATCCTATCTGCCTTATGGAAAACTCCAAGTCAGCACACGGTCCCTGGAGCTGTCTTGAGTCAGCATCCACTTTCCCAAGTTCATTCATGTTCTTAATGGCTCCTCTTTTCCCCTCTCCTTTCTAGTTTTTCTAGTTCTTTCTCTTCTTCCTTCTTTTTCCACATAAAAGCAAGATACAAAGAAGTGAGTTTGCGTAGACAGGCACTGAACCCACAAGCCAGGGGTAGTGACTTCTGTGTGTCATGGTGCCATACCTGAGATCCACATTACATCCCATAATCCTGATGGTAACCCCCAAGAGATAGGCATTGTATCCCTCACATGGGTATTTGGCTGAAAGTGGCAAACCTTGGATTTGCAAACAAGTCCATCCCACCTTAAAGAACAAAGCTTCTCAGCAGCGCTCTGTGGTTGGATGGGAATGGGGGAGAGGGCGGTGGTGCTAGAGCCTTAACAGCCATTCATAAGGAGCTGCTCCCTGCACATTTCTTATCTCTTCATCATGTGGTGTGGATGGGGTTCCTACAGCCTAGAGCTGCTTTGTTTGTGTGTAGTCCTGCTCTTGAAGGAAGAGCCACATTGTCCAGAGTGTTTGGGTAAATCAAATCGCCTTCCGCCCTGAGATCTGATCACAGAATAGCTTGACATTCTGACTCAGCAGGAGGTCAGAATCACTTCCCCAAGACCGTATCAAAAGGAGCCAAAATATTAGAAGGTGGAAGGGAGCTATCATTTTCCTCCTCGCCCTAATTACCCCAATTTTAAGAGTTTTCAGTGGGAACCAATGTGGAAAAAAAAATTCAGTAGTAGAAAAACAGAACTAGCAAGAAAGTCATGGCTAAAGTCACACCCACCCACACAGACACATCGCATCTATCAGCTACAGGCCTATCCTCGGAATTTCAAAATCACTCTCTTCCTCTTTGTCTTCATAGTGCCATCCCAGGACTCATCTTCTCCTAGACTCTGTAGTCCCCATTTTGGGGCTCCCTGTACCTTCTCTGACTCCTTTGAGTTATTAGCACGACCTTGTTGCGAGACTTTCCAGTGCTTCACCCTTGACAATGATGTCTAGAAAGGAGGGGGTCTGAAGTGCTGGACGTGTCCAAGGAGGCCTCTCAAGTTCAGGCCCTCTGCTCTCCAGCTTCACTGATGGCTCTGTCCGGCCACACTGAGCATCAGGAAGTCCTGAACTTTCTGTTCTCCCCGACTTCTGCACCCCAGTGTGCTGCTCCCTCTGCCTGTAACAATCTCCAGGACATTCCCTACCTGGGGAACCCCTCCTTATCCTCCAGAGTTAAGCCCCAGTTGCTGTCCCCTGGGGAAACCTTCTAAGGGTCACTCCCCATCCCTTCAGTCTGAGTTTAAAGCCACATTCTCTGGGCTTCTTTTCCACTCTGGCCTCTTTCTGTCACACTCCTCCAAACACAATATTGTGGAGGCCATCTTCCTACGTGACTCTCCCTCATTGGCTTAGACTTACCTTGAGGACAAAGAACTGTGTTTTGTGAATATTCAATTTCATATTCTTGGGACTTAAAACACAGCAGGGGTTTAATAAATGTTTAATAATTGCCTTGATTCTTTTTTCAGAAAAAGTAATTTATAAAATTCAAAAAATCAGAGAAATGAAATTAAAAGCCAACGTCCTGAGCACTGTAGCTTAGACCTCCTCTTGGTATCTAGCGTCTAGTTTTCTTGTTTGCTGAGACAGTGCTCATTGTGGTATATTCTTTTGTACAGTGAGAAGACCTGTGGAGCTGGGCTGTGGACTGGGAGTGGGTTTGTTCTGTGGACCTAAGAAAGGTCCACTAATCTGTGTAGAGCCTTTCCAGCCTCGGCCTCCAGGTAGAGATCACCCAGGAAGTGGAACTGTTCCAAGCCAAGAAGTTTACCACTTTTATTTACTAGAGCTTTTTGTGTTCTGTTGTTTAAGCATTAGGAAGATGAAGCCCTGTTTGAGTCTTTATAGGATCACATTTAATGATCCCCCCTCAAAAAGTGTTTGTGTAACCTCAAGCCATACTGAAAGCAAGGAGGTGGGATTCTGCCTGACCTCACTCAACCCTTCGTCTTGCTGCCTGGCCGTGTGCATTGTGGCATCCGAGTATGCGCTTCCCCTGAAGTCTGTTGGTCTTGTATATACTGGTAGAACCCAAGGCCAGAGCACTTGCTTTTCATGAACTAGGGGGAACTTTAGAAATTCAACAACAAACATTTATTGACCACCCGGTAGGTGCAAAACCCAACTTAGGTGTTGAGGGTGATCCAGGGTGATAAGGACTGGGTCTCCTCTAGAGCCTCCCATCCAGGAAGAACAGCCAGCTAGCAAAGCTTTGAAGACATGAGGGAGCATCACTTAGTCTAGGCTCAGTAATTACTGTGGCATCCACAGCATTAGAAAAAGAAATGCCTTGTTATTGGCACAATTTTAGGTCTTCTTGAGTTCACTGTGAGCTTTAACCTTCATATTATTTCCACCTTGCAGTTAGGCAACACAAACTCTAACATGCAATGAATATGAACCCCAAAATATTAGATTGGGAGATAAATCAGTAGATTGAGAGGTCAGTGGTTCAGGTGTTTGTTGGGGATGAGGGAGTTGTTCTCTGTCTGATTTGCCCTCACACATGGAATCTAGGAGAAAGATCTCTAAGAAACTAGGACTGGGAGAGCCTGCTGAGATAGTGGAGGTAAGAGCCAGTGATGGAGAGATGGATTGAGACCTTTACCTAGAGACAAAGCAAAAGGGAGGATGATTTTAGGTAGAGAAATGGATACAGAATCTGCACCTGTCTGATGATAGCATCATTTTAGTACAGTAGGAAGGGAGGGCATGGGGGAGAGAAGGGGCTGGGGTAGGGAGGAGTTGAAAGTTTCATCATTGAACACATTGAACTTTGATCGCATCTGTTCAGTTTTTCTTATACTGGGGGCACTTGAAGACCACCTCCCCAGATGCTCCTAATGGATTCCCTTGCTGGGAAGCCCGAAGCCCCCTAGCAGCTGGCACACAGGGCGTTTCCTTCCTTCCTCTCAAGTTTGACCTTGGCTGGGAGACAGACCTTTCTGTCCCAACCTTTTCTCTGTTCAAACTGCCTTAGAAAAGACAGGGAGAAATGACTTAGATTTTTTTCCCCCCTTTGCAAAAGGGTACTTTCAGTGGCTCTCAAGCTAAAAATGTATTAAAGGGTGACATTTCTTGGCTAAGATCCCCTTTTCTTGTAGTAGCCAACAAAATGAAATGTTTATAATATGTAACAGGCTCAAAATTAGAAGATACAAAAGAGTTTTGTGGGTCTCCAAATTTATTTATCTTCTGGCCACTCCGTTCCCCTCTCCTGGGGTAGCCAGCATTACTAGTTTCTTTATGACACTTTGTTGATTGCTGTGTTACTAGAGAAGTGACATTTTGGAAATCAGTTCAACAAATAATCCAAGGCCTTACCATGACCAGGCCCTGGCTGTTAGAGTCTTAGTTTTGGTGAAGTTTTCTTTTTTTTTTGGCCAGAAAAAAGTAAGGTGGCCAGAATGAAAAGGCAGTACCTTAATTGTTAGTGAGCACTTTACCATCTGCAGATATTGCATTTCAGTTCTGAAAGCGTGGGATGTAGATTTTGAGGGGGCAGTGCTAGGGATTGAACTCAGGGCCTTGTGCATGCTAGGTAAGCGCTGTCCCATTGAACTACATCTTTTGCCAGGAACTTTGAAAGTATTTTATTCCCCACTTCCATTCAGCTATGTATTTTCTATTAAATTACACAATTGACAGCTGCCACTTATAATTACTTAATACAAACCCCTGCTGCTAAATGGCTCAAGTGGAAATCTGTGTATTTACTTTGCTTATCTAATACAAAGCACAGGTTTTTGTTATTCCAGTAGCTCATCAAGTTCTGGACTCTTGCATCATAGCTCCTTGACACAGCAGCTACATCTGAGCCATCCTTATATGCTTGCCAAAGGGTTTTCAGCACTCAATGATTCTAGGACAGACTCCTAGGTCACATGCCCAGAGGAGGAAGAATGCTGGGTATGAGGGTAGGAGATTTTTTTTATTGACCTTTTTCCTCCAAGTTAGTTGCTGACTCCCTCTGCAAAAAGACCTGGCTTCTTGTCCCCTATGAAATTATTGCTATCATGGGGTTTTTAGGAAAAAGTGGTCACTGCTGCTTCCTTACTTCAGCTCCTGTTGTCAGGAATTCATATTGGCCAATCTGACTCGGTTACACCCTGAATTCCTTTGTAAGGAAAGGGAAAGTAGCGTGGATTACTGACTAATTATGACTTGCTTCCCTTGCTTAAGAACTTCTCTTTCATTGCTCATTTGCCCTGAGAAATCAGGAAGTCTGGGGTTGCAGGTACAGAGCACTGGACTGAGTCCATAAAACTGGATTCTACTCTTGCACAACCTGGGCCATGTCACTGTCCTCCAGACCTTAGTTTTCCCATTCAAACTATGTGATCTCTATGGTCCTTCCGGATTTAGAGAACTATGGTTCAGGGCTCTCTTTTCCTAAAGTTTGTGTACCTCCCACCTTCCTTCCATTTGCCTCTGCCTGTCCCCAGATCCCAGGTGGCAATTACTAATTCGGATCTCTGATTTGTTCTCCTAGGTATTCTTCGTGTCAGACCTCTTCAAGACTAAGACGACACTCTCCCTGCCTTCGCCTGCCATCAGGAAGGAGATCCTTTCACCTGTGGACATTATTGACAGGAACAATCACCACAACATGGTGTAGGTGCTGCCCGCCTCCTGAGCTGGTTTTTTTTTGTACAATGACTGCTGACAGCAAGTTCTTGCTGCTCTCCAATCTCATCAGACAGTAGAATGTAGGGAAAAACTTTTTTGCCCAACTGATTTTTGAAAAGGAAAAAAAAAAAAAGTCTTACCTTGTGGCCTTCCAAAATAGGTAGCGTTCACCTATGTGGAATCAACAGCAAACTAACACCAAGTGCCGGAGTCCTGGATGTGCAGTTGGTTTAAGTGTTCATGTTCTAGTGAGCACGGGCCTGTCCCACCACAAACACTAAAATGATTTGAGTCTTCTGGTCACCTTCTGTGACCTGAGAATCCCAGGCCTGTGAGAAAAGTGCAAATTCAATGTTGTAGCACATCACACCAGAATTAGCACTGAATCCACAACCTAGCCTTGGGGGACTCCCCTCTGGCATTCCCCCTTCTCATCCACTCTATTCTCTACTGTGACTTTGGTTCAGGAAATTTTGTTTTCTTAAATCTAAGGAATGAGCATATTTGCTCAGTCAAGTGGTCAAGATCCCAAATCCAAATCCCTAGTCCTTAGGATTTTCTATCACAGCTCCTGACCCCTGCACAGTCCACAGGCCCACAACCATGGTCCCTCACTTTAGAGATTAGAAGACTCTTTGTGGGATGAGTGAACTTCACAAATAGCACAATTTCAGAAGAACTGGAGGGTCCAGGCCTCCATTTGTCTTCTTTTGACTCATCGTCCTGTGATGTTGTGATGTCGATCACAGGATGCTGATGTTGTACACGTCAATCACCGGGCACTTGCACACTCTTAGAAACGGTTAGACTTCGGTTACTGCCATCTCCCTTGAAATCCGGGGTTTCCTATGAGTGTCCAGAGATGAGCAAGGGCATGGTCGGCCTCTGGCTGATGCAAAACAGCCTTCTGGACAGGAGACAGGGGAGGAAAAGGGCAGAATGAAAGATGAAACAACCTTTCAGCTACTCCAATTCGGAGGGAGCCAGAGTAGCAGCCGGTCTCCTGCCTGAAAGGCTACCCTTCAAGATAACGGAGCGGAGAGGGTTTCCGTGGGAGTTGCTCTTGCTAAGCTGTGTAAAGCACTGTTGTCTTGGGGTTGACCCCTAGGGCAGTTCTTGGTAGGTTCTGCTGGGCAGAACACATGGGTTAAATCTCCGTAGAGTTTTCCTCATTCTCTATCCATAAGTGTCCTTCCAAGCAAGGTCGTACTCTGGGTGGTAGATGGGGACCCCTTCTACTGGACCTTTGAGGAAAGGAGGAAGAAAGAAATGCTTCTTGATCTTGGATGCAAACCTTTCAAAGGGCTACATGTAACCATATGGATCAACCACATGCACATCCTTGTTACAGAATCCGTCCTTTCATTTCAACGTATAGCAAGCTATGATTTTTATATATAAATATTATATAAATAATGTATAAAACATTAAAAGTTAACTATGTAAAATATTATTTCTGAAGCAATTTTAGCTATATCCACTATGATTATAAACTGTGTCTCGACCTGTGTTATTTACTTTAGCTGCTTAAAAAAGCAATGAGTTAATTTTTTTTTAATCTCAACTAAAATATCAATAGTTCTGTGGTAGCCATTGTTTTACAATGAGAGAAATAACTGCAACTAGAGAAAAATGTATAAAAACATTAAATTGTCAGTATTTTTGTAAGGTTCCATTTTGTAAAGAGAATAATATTCAAAGACTTTTGTAGCATACAAAGTGAAAACTTGTATCTGCGAAACTATACTTGTATTAAATGTGCTTTTTAAATAAAAGCTCATAACACAACTAATTAAGGAATCGGAAGCTGGAATGTTGGAGGGATGTTTGTGTTGGGTGCGTGGGTAGGAGGAGGGGGAGGCAGGCCAGCCTCTGATTGGCCCCCCTCAGGGCACCGCCTTCTGATTCTGTCAGTGGGCAACATGGCAACCAGAGGAGAGATACCAGTGGCTAAGCTGCTCTTTCATCTCCGAAAGCCTGTTTGCAGAGTGAGGCTCTGGCTCTGCTCTCATCTCAGGGGCTTCTAAAGAGCTTTTGTATTCTAAGAGGGGTTTTCAGTTAGGGAAGTGGGAGCTGTGAGGCCCCCCCCCAAGGCAGATAAGGAGCCAGTGCTCAGATAAGGTGGGTTTGGGGAGCTGACTGGGGGAGTCCTTCACAGGGTCCACAGCAAAGGAAGAAGACACACTGCTGAAAACACTGTCTCCTTGCCTGTGACCCTCTTCTTGTGCTTTCCAACCAGGAAGAAAAGGGGAAGCTAGAAATTCACATGTTCTATGTGCCTGTTCGCCAGGTAGTTCTGCCTCTTTGTTCATTTTTACCCTGAACAGTTATTATTTTGAGAAGTAAGGAAAGCCTAAGAATGCAAAGGTGAAACCACTTGTCTAAGAGTAATTGCAGGACAGGTCTTATATTAGTTTCCTATGGTCATTGTAACAAATTACCGCAAACAGTGGTTCAAAGCAACACAAAGTTGTTAATTTCCCAGTTCTGCAGGGTCTGGCGGAGAAGTTCATTCCCCATCTACAATCCCTTGCCTGTGGCCCTCTTCCTTCTTATTGTGCTGTCTCGGGTTCTTCCCCTCTGCCACAGCTTCCACATTCGAGGACCTTAGTGATTATGTGGGACCACTCAGATAAATTTTAGGATAATGCACCTATGTTAAATTAAAATGATTGGCACATTTAATTCCATATGGCTAAACCTTAATTCCCCTTAGCCATGTAAAAACAGTCAGAGTTTCCAGGGATTTGCCCGTGGACATCTTTACAGTTCACCCTCTGGCTTCCAAAGCAAAATAGATTTACTTTATCTCCAAGTTCTTTCCCTCTCTCTCTCTCTCCCTCCTTCTTGAGGTAAGTGAAGTGCTCTACCACTAAGCTACATCCCCATTCCTAAATGTAGTTCAGTGATAAAGCACTTTTGTAGCATGCAAAAATCCCCGGGTTCAATCTAGCACTGCAAAATATATAAATAAAATACATAAATAAACATCTTAAATCTCATCTAAAACTAACTTAACAATCCCAGATCTCATTTTCTAAATCAGGTAAGGATAAGCCTCTATGTTCATACCACCCTGAGGTCTAATTGTTCTCCATCTTCGAACCTGTAAAACTAAAGAAACAATTATCTGCTTCTAAAATTCAGTGATAGGACAGGCATAGGAAAACAGAGTCATTCATATTCAAAAAGAAAAGAAGTGGAAAGGAAAAAGGAACCATCAACCCTAAGCAATTTCCAGATCCAGACTGACAATCCATTTGGTTCCAAGGCCTGGAAATGTACTCCTGTGGCTTACGGCTTGCTTTTTTGCCAGAAAGACCAGCCTGCTTGCTCTTGGTTATTAGACAAAGTAGGACCATTCATGCCCTGGTATCAGCTCAGCAACTTTTTTGTGAATTGCGATATACCTTTGGGCCCCAGGGGCAGCTAGGGAGAACCTAAGGCCACACTTCAAATTTTTACTTCAATTCTGAGGATCAAAGATCCAGAGAGAGAAAATAACTCCTGCTGGTGGGGGCAGAAGAGGGGAGAGAAACTGGGAGGGGAGAACTGGGTGATTCCAGCACCAAAGCCTCCTGACATGAGTCCCCTAGTCAGTCCATTGTGCCTATCTACAAGTAGTTGACAGCGTACCCACAAGAGACATAGCCCCAATTCATGTAGACTTACAGAGAGATGGAACTGCAGCTCAGAATAGCCATTGTCATCACCATGATGAGCCACCCAGCAGTGCAGAAGGATATGTGGACTTTGGGACTCAGGTCCACATCACAGTCTTGGCTCTCCCCGTTACCCGCTATGAGATGTGCCTGAACCTGAGTCTTGGATTGTTACTTTATAAGGATGGGATTTCCAATACCTGTTCTTATACCTCTGTCATTATGGCATTCTCTGAGTCTAGACCTTGATTCTCAAAACGTGGTCCACAAACTAACAATATCTGCATCCCCAGAGAGTGTGGTACAAGTACAGAAGTGGAAGCCCCTGCCCCACCTAAAACTATACCACCTGAACCTTCCTATGAACAAGATCCCAGGTTGTTCATGTGCACAGGAAGGTTTGAGAAGTACTCCCACTCTATACTTCATAAACCTTCAGCTTCTGATCTGGTGTTCACTGCCCCAAGCCACATTTCTGCTAGGCTTGGCTCAGTGCATGCTGGGCAAACATCAGTGACCTCTTAGCTTTATGGACCAAAATCCTATGTCTATCAAGCTTATAACATTCTAACCTGGCACGGTGATGCACCCCTGTAATCCTAGCTACTTGGGAGGTTGAGTAAGGAGGATCACAAATTAAAGGTCAGCCTGAGTAACTAGAAACACCCTGACTCAAAATTAAAAAGGGTTAGGGGAATAGCTCAGTGGAAGAGTGACACTGGGTTTAATGGCCCGTACTGGTGGGGTGGGGAAACCCACAAAGGTCTATAAGGTTCTCAGAGACAAAAGTTTATCTTACCTTCTCTGCCAAGTCTTGCATCCCTGTTTGGTATAGTTCCTGGTATTTATTGAGCCAATTAACCAGCCCCAGATCAAAAAGTCACATGACTCTTGGTAACCAACCAATTAAACAGACTGCAGGGATATGGAGAAGTGCAAACCTTTTCCTCTTTCTTTAGGAGTTAGTAAGGACATGTATTTTTTTCTGAGATAGAGATAAAAAGCTTCACCAGTCCCAAGTCTGCGTGACTTCTCCTAGTTAGAATGGATTCACATATCCATTAGCTTATTCTAAAATATTTCCAAAGGAATATTTATGGACAAATGACTGACATAGCCATTTTACATGGTTTGTTTCATTTAAATCTCCACAAACAACTATTAAAGTAGATATGATTAGCTCCCTGTTGCTGAAAGGGAAACCAAGACTCAATTAAGAATCTTAGTTCACACATCTAATTTGGGATAGAAATTGGGATTCAGATCCAAACAATTTCGGTTATTCATTGAGTAATATTGACTCTAATTACTTCCTATGTCCCAAGCCCTGGTAAACACACCAGGTAGAGTAGTAAATAAAACAGGTGACATTCCAGCTTCAAGGAGCTGTGTCTAGGGTTGAGGATGTGGCTCAAGCAGTAGCGCGCTTGCCTGGCATGCGAGCGGCCCAGGTTCGATCCTCAGCACCACATACAAACAAAGATGTTGTGTCCGCCAAAAACTAAAAAAAAATAAATATTAAAAAAAAAAAAAGGAGTTGTGTCTAGAGGGGAATGCAAGAGATTGAGTGACAAATGTAGGGATTCAAATAAGTATTATAAAGAAAGAATGCTAGAAGCTACAGGAACTCATCCTACAGAGGACTCATCCTACAGAGAGCCACACAGGGCCAGAGCCTGTTGACTTCACTCCTATGCTCCAGCAAAATGAATGAAATGCAGGTGCAGAGAAAAAACAAAGGAGTAAATAAATAACTAGGGCAGTGGGGTAGGGAGGGAGTCCTTGGTGAATGCTGAGGCCGCAGGAACAGAATGAGTCAGAAAGACTGTTCTCTATGGTGGACTTTCTTCCTAACCCGTGTAAGCCCGTCCTCTAGAGCAACCAACTCTGGGGAAAAAAAAAAAAAAAGCTAGTTTCTTACACAAACCTGTCTAATGATAAGTATGTAGAGTTTTCAAAACACTTAGATCCATACAGTCATGTGTGAGTTGTCGTGCCTCCTTCTAAAAGAAAGCAGTGAGCAAAAGACCCCAGAATAGGAGATGAATGGCAGGAATCACAGACACCTCAGTCATTTTCTTTTTTATTTCAAAATGGTGTAAATGACAAGAAAAGGAACGGTGACCTATTTTTAAGACTTTATGACAGAGGTATATAAATGAAAGGTAAACATATAAAAGCATGCTCAGCTTTTGAATCATGGAAAATTGCAAATGGAAATCATAAAGACTTATCATCGTATACCTAGTGCATTCTTGTCTAAATTAAAACAACAAAACAATACCAAGAGTGATTATAGTTGGGAAACAATTGGAACTCTCATTTAGAGCTAGTGGCCATGTAAATTGGTACAAGCACTTTGGAAAGCATTGCCAATATCTACTAAAGCAATAATATCATACCCCATTGTTCAGTAATGCTACCACTAAAATTTATACCCAATGGAAGGCTGCATGTGGACTCAGCCAAAGATGTGTATAAGAATGCTCATGGTAGCTCCATCTAAAACTGAAAATGACTCAAATCCCCATCAACAACCAAGCAGACAATTAAACAGTAGAATTAAATACTCACACGCGAATACTATTTAGCAATGAAAATGAATAAATGAATGATATAAAAAAATTGAGTGACTAAAACCAAGTAAAAAAAGAGATTTCATATTTTATAAATTAATTTTTATAAAGTTCAACACAGGCAAAATTAATCTAGATAAAATTCACTAATCTAGTGATAGAACTAATCATTAATCTAGTGATAGAACTCAGATTTGTGATAACCTTTGGGAGTACAGAGAGACTGGGAGAAGATGATCTGGGTGGTGGTCATTATGTGAAAATTTGTTAGGCTGTATTCATGAGGAATGCTCTTGTCTATTTGTCAAACTTCAATTGAAAAGGAGAAAAGAAGGAAGCTTGTAAAAAAATTGTTTATGTACCACAAGAAAAAGGAGACTGACAGTCGATTGGCATCTTTACCTCCCCCAATAGCTTTCCAGCTCATCTTTTCCC